GATAAGAGGGAATGAATTGAGAAGAAATGGCTTACTCTAGAAGGAAGAGGCGATTCTATAAATGACAATAGAAAAGAACAAGAAAATGACGCTCAACTCAAATTAAGAATTGCAGAGCTGTTGTATAAACAGAGGGTCATACATTCTTTTGCGTTTCCATAAATTTAGAGGGGTGTAGTCAAACTAGGATTTGGTAGGATTTTAATAGATTTTAAATCCGAATGTAGTCAATCAGTATATTAAAAGAGGATTTTAAAGGAGTTTGAAATCATAGGGTAGTCAAATTAGGATTTTAAAGAATACTTCAAAATCCATGGGTAGTCAATTAGGTTTTAAAAAAATCCACCAAATTCTAGGTGTAGTGAGAATACCAAAGATTTATTAGGATTTTAATGAATGATGGATTTGGATGGATTTGAGGGTGGGTGGTATAAATTCTATATGCCATCAAGAATCCAACTCTAACCCCTCTAATTTCTTTTCACGTTCATCATATAGAAGAGGAACAGTCTTCCTCCATTCCTCAAGGTATTTTTTTTTAACTTCCGAATTTGTACAAGGACTCTTTATTATTTTCATGGTATTTATATATAGTTGTTCTTAGCACGTAGGCACAGTACGTATTTGTACTCAGTCTTGCCGGTAATCTCAAAAAAAAAAAAAACCCCATCTTGTGTTTTGTTTTGTTTTTATAATTTTGTTTTATCATGCCGACTGCATGTGATTACAATCTCCAAACTTCCCCCACCAACCCAGAAGGTCTGCTCTCTATTTCTTTGTTGCTATTTTGTTTTTGCTTTTTTTTGTTATTATTTTATTTATTACAATATTTTTTGGAATAAAGATGAATTGAATTGGACCTGGAGCAATTCCCGAGCTCCACCGATTGCTCCCTTACTTCCCTCATTGTGTTTAGTTCTTAATCTGTTTTTAGTTCTCAATTTGTATTTAGTTCTCCATTGTCACTAGCTTCACTGGTGAATTATATTTCTCTAATTAGTGAAGCTGTAAAACGGGATGATGCGTTAGCAAAGTGCAAGGTTCTGTTTAGCTTCTTTTTTATCATTGTAACCGTATAATTGTTTATTTAGTTGTGGTATCTCAATGGTTAATTATGGTTGATATTCTTCAATATAGGTTTCCAATCTGAAATTTGGAGCAGGCAAACCGCTATTGTTTCATACTCCCCCTTTCTTGTTTTAAATGCAAAATTGAAACTTATATTTGTGAACCTTTATGTGATCATGTTGAGCTCCAAGTACTTAAAAATCACAGGTGTTTTTACCTTTTATTTGTCCCTTTTTATAATTTCTTATTTCTCTTGCTTGAGGAAACTGTTTCTCTTTTTGTATATATCAACTTCTGGAGATTCTTTCCGACTGTTGTTGATGTGGTGCGTTGATTTTTGTTTCTGCAAATGATCATTCATAGGCCATTCACATTATTCTATTCATTTGTTAAGAGTTTAGATTGAATATTTTCCCCTAGTTTTATTTGTTGTATTGAATTTGGTTATTATGATTAGCATTTTTTCATGAATTTGGTTATTATGATTAGACTAGAGCTTACTGTATTTGTTTGGTTAATTAATGTACTTAGTTGCTTTATTAACACGTTGCATATATGATTCGGATAGTTTTTGTTAAGTATGTCCTAAATTGATTTTTTGTTACTGCTACTGCTTCAATCATACTAGTAATTAGAAATGGGAGACGAACAACAAGAAATTGGAAAAGTGAAGGCCAAGAATGATTATAGCGCTTGGACTTTGGAAGGGAGCAAACTGTTGTTACAATTGCTCATTGAAGCTACATTGTGTGGATGACGTGATGCTAATGGCTTGCTAACCAAAGATATTGTGACGACAAGAATACTTCCGGCACTTAATGAAAGACTAAAGTGTAATAAAACTTATAAGCATTACACAAGTCGAATGAGATATTTTAAAAAAGAATATGGAAAGTATAGTTAGCTTATGGGAAGCAACTCTGGCTTTGGGTGGGATGCAAACAAAAAAAGATTTGTTGCTGATGACGAAGTTTGGGAAGAATACTTTAGGGTGAGCTTCTTGGCTTTGATTTAAAATATTATATGTAACTTGAATGTAAACTTATAGTTTATTGAACAATTGTGATTTTCTTGTTTATTTTGTAGGCCTACCCAGACCAAAGAAGCATTTGTAAAAAATCTTGTGATGACTTTGAAGATTTGCAAATCATACTTGGGGATGCAACTGCTACTGGAAAACAGTCATTGGGATTGGGTGAGGAAACTGATGCAAGAACTTTTGTAATGGAAGGTGGAATAGAGGAAGATGAACAAGTTGGAATAGAGAACTTGTTTTACAATGAGGAAAATGGGGGCTTTGTACTAAATCAAAACCAAGCATCACACCAAACTTCATCATTCGATCAATCATCCCAATTCTTACCCACTCAGACCACTAGCTTAGAGATTCCCCCAGAAATCACCAATCATAGGAAACGAAACAGAACCCAATACCAGGGGAATACTAGATCATATGAGACCACTAATCAAGCTAGAATTAAGGAAAATATTTCACTTACTCTCGGTTCAATTGCCACTGACTTTTGAGGAGTCTATAGTTTGTTGGAGAAAAGGGATAAAGATAGAGAAAGACAAAATTCTATATGGGATGCCATCAAGCAAACCCCAAATTTGGATGAACCTGCTCGCATAGAAATCTATATAAGAAATCCATATAAATCTAACGAAATCCATATATAATTGAGATGCCATCAAGCAAAAAAGGATGCATTTCTGAAGATGTCACCGGAAGAGCGGTCAAATTGGATACGCTATAATTTGAAATGGTATAACTCATGATACATTTAGTTTTCTTTGTTCGTTTTATTTTGGATTATGTTTAATTGACTTATTCATACTTTTTGTTAACTGAATTATGTTGGATTATGTTTAATGAATGATGTGTTTAATTTAATTAATGATTTTATGTGAAAATGTAGGATTTACCTCTATTGAATTTGGACAATGTACTATTGCTATTAGACTATAAGTGTAGGAAATTGAATGTGGGAATGTTGGATTTAGCTCTATTGAATTTTGGTTGTTGTTAATGGAAAAGGCTGCTCGGCTTCCCCAACTGAGGAAATCTGAACTCTACTTGATCGTAGTGTTCGTGGAACACTCTCCACTTTTTCTCAGGTTTCTATATTAGTGTTTTCGTTCTTTTCTTAAATGAATGTGTTCAATTGTTATTTGATTCTAGATTAGTGTGTGACCTTCTTACACTTTCTAAGCAGTAGACTCGTCAATTGGTATTTCTTGGTCTATTGCGGAGATTATGAGAATGAACTACCAGATAGGAATCCTATTTAGATTAGATGTCTCCCAGTCAATGATTAAGGGTAAAATCCTAAGAGTAAAATCTTAAGAAATCTTTGAAAGAAGTCTATATAAATCTTGAGAAATCCACGAAAGAAATCCATACAAATCCATAGAAATCTATATTAGAAATAATCCATATAAATCTAACGAAATCCATATATAATTAAGAATCTTTTAAAATCCTTTGAAATTTGTTACTTAAAAAAAAATCTATTAAAATCCCGTGTAATCCAAATTGACTACACCTCTAAGTTAAAGAAAATGAAGGATGATGAAGTTTGGAAGGAGCTGCAAAGAAGACAACGGGAGGAGGGGTTGAAGTGGACATGCACGCATATCTAAAAATAAATATTTTTTTTTTCTCTTTTGTTTCAACCATGTGGCATCATCTAACTGAATAGACAGAATATAGGAAAAATGAAGTAAAAATCAAGTTTTACGGGTTTAAATGACAAATTTTGAGTTTTAAAAGACAAAAATAATGAACCTAAAGTCGAGTTTTAAGAGCATAGTTAAAAATAATCCTATATGAGGTGCTAACACACAAACCCTCAAATATTGATTAAGGTACTAGTTGCTGAACGCTGATCCAATTTCTTATTTTGTAGGGCATTTGATACGATTTTAGGGTGGGATCTTCGTATTTATTGATTTTTATATTATTAAACATGGAAATGTCAAGGACTGAATTATACATATATATGTATGTATATATATCCATTCCGGGTAAGTAAAATATGTGGTCAATGTTTTCTTCTTAATCAAGAAATATCAATGATTATTAAACTTTCTAATTAATTAGGGTTTTGATGGTTAAGTCATCGAATGTGTAGTTAAGATGTTTTCTTCTGAATTTTTATTTTTTCTTTATGAAATCTGATCAATTAATGTTCTTTTCGTTTTAGGGTTTTGATTTAGGGCTAGGGTTTATCTCCGTTGCATTTTGGGGGTATGGAGTCTCAGGTGGGGGGAAGGTTTCGACTTGGCCAGAAGATTGGTAGCGGATCATTTGGAAAGATATACCGAGGTACTAACATCATTTGGAAAGATTTACTCACATAGACATTTTGGACCGCATATTGGATAAAATTGTAAGAAGACAATGGTACACTGATTTGAAAGACTTTGTATTTCATAGTTTGTGCTGATATTTGTAATTTTGTTTTTTGTTTTATGCCCCATGATGTTAATCACGATGTACGTCTTTTAATTAAGACACAACTTTAGTTTCTGATATTCACATTTGAGTTTTGAATAGATATTTGTAATATCCTATGTACTATGTCATTATGTTTAATAAAACATCTTATTTAAAAAAAATACATTAGGTAGAAAAAAAAAGTGCATTGGCCTATTTTCAACAATAGAAAGCACAAATTGGTTGGGAAAGAAAACTTCAGGCCCCAAATTGGCACTTGGGTGTCAGTTTAGGGGCATTCCGGAAATTCAATAACCCTTTAATAATCCTAGAATCGTTAGGTTTCCTTAGGAATTACGGTTTTAATGCTTCATATTTACGTCAGGAATTCTCTCTTTTTGACGATCCTTTATTCCGTCTTTTTGGTTGCGTTATTTTCCCTTCAAAACCATTACTTAATTGTTTTCGGCCTTAAGCATTTGATTTAGGGCTAGGGTTTTTGTGCCGTCGTAGGGTTTTAGGGGGATATGGAGCCTCTGGTGGGTGGAAGGTTTCAACTTGTTAGAAAGATCGGTAGGGGATCGTGTGGAGAGGTCTACCGAGGTACTAATATTCAGACAAACGAGGAGGTTGCTATTAAGCTCGAAAGTGGCAAGACGAGGCATCCACAACTGCTGTATGAATCGAAGTTGTATACAGTAGTGCATGGAGGACCTGGAATTCCAAACGTGAGAGCGTTTGGCTCTGAAGGAGACTACAATTTTCTTGTCATGGAATTACTTGGACCTAGTCTTGAGGATTTATTCCAAGTTTGCAATAGGAAATTCTCTCTTAAGACGGTTCTCATGCTCGCAGATAAAATGCTAGATCGACTAGAGTTTGTTCATTCGAAATCAGTCCTGCACCGCGACATCAAGCCAGACAATTTCGTAATGGGAGTGGGTCGACGAGCGAATCAGGTTTACATCATTGACTTAGGTCTCGCTAAGAAGTATAGAGACCCTTCAACTCATAGGCATATTCCTTATAGAGAAAATAAAAGTCTGATAGGTAATGCAAGGTATGCAAGCGTAAACACTCATCTTGGCATTGAACAAAGCTGCCGGGACGATTTGGAATCACTGGGATATGTGCTTATGTACTTTCTAAGAGGAAGTCTTCCTTGGCAGGGATTGAAAGTGGGATCAAAAAAGCAGAAAGATGAGAGCATCGTAGAAAAGAAAATGTCAACTTCTATTGAGTCCTTATGCACTGGTTACCCTTCAGAGTTTTCGGTATACTTCCTTTACTGTAGGTCGTTGCGGTTTGATGCGAAACCCGATTATGCTTCTCTGAAGAGACTCTTTCGTGACCTTTTTGTTCGTGAAGGTTTTCAGTTCGACTACGATTTTGATTGGGCTCGCTTAAACGTCCGGTAACTTCATCCTAGTGTTGATATGTAGTCTTTATGGATCTTGTTTCAATCTTCATACTTGTATCAATTATCGACAACAACAACAACAACAACAAAGCCTTTTCCTACTAAGTGGGGTCGGCTACGTATCAATTATCGACAAAGAGAATATAAGAAATTGATAGTTGATCATAAGTAATTGACTACTCTAGAATACCAAAAACCAAACTGTCACATACATGCTGAGTTTCATCGACCTGTCAATTTATCTACAAAACTAGTACAATTTTTTTTGTTGTGATTGATTACTTACAATCCTTAGACATGTTTTCTTAAATAGTCTACGGTTTGAGATGATAGTGAGTGTTTGCTGGCTATTCCTAGCTCTCAGCAGATCTTGTTTCTGGTTCACTCCCCTCCTGCAAAAACCAATCAACACCTTTTAGACCGCATTCGACAATTTTCAGGGTTCAAAGTAGGATTTAGTGAGAGAAAGAGGACTGTATTTATTGTCCATATACACTTACTAGCTGTACAGAAACTTGGCTGTGTTCGGATGAGGGGCTATGACCACCAGCCATCAGTGTTGGGTGCATTGTCTCTTCAGCAATCCCTCTCAATCTGTTAAGTTCTGGCAGGATAACCTTTCGAAGGTCCGGCCTGTCTTTTCTCCTCAACTCTGCACACTGGAGAGCCAGCTTGGCAAACTTCAATGTGTCTTGAACCGGCCAATCTGGCACTGATGGATCCAGCATATCTTCGAAAGTCCCCTTCTCAATAGCCCTTTCAACATGGTGAGTCAATCCCATTGCCGGCTTCGCGGTGATCATTTGCAGAAACATAATCCCAAGAGAGTACACATCAGACTTAACACCAAGCATTCCGGTTTGCTGATACTCAGGATCTATGTAGCAGAACGTGCCAGCTGTTGATGTCATGCGATACTGTGTCACGGTGTCAGCAACAGATGGGGGCACAAGCCTGGCCAAGCCAACATCACTGATCTTGCTCACATAGTTGCGGTCAAGCAAGATGTTAGCGGGCTTTAAGTCACGGTGAACTAGTGGCTCTGGTTTGGCTTGGTGGAGGAATAGCAAGCCTGTCCCAATTTCAGCTGCAATCTTAAATCTAAGTTGCCAAGAGAGAATTGGACTGTTTCCTCTACGAAGAAGACGGTCTTCCAAGCTCCCATTAGCCATGTACTCATAAACCAAGCATCCGTACTCTGGGCAGGCTCCCAGCAGAAGAACCATGTTAGGATGCCGTATAGAGCTCAATACTTCAACCTGTTCATAGTAATTAGCAAATCAACCAAAGAAAAACTAATGTTTCCAAATTTATAATCCCTTGTCAGACAGCCCGGCAATACAAGAATCAACCAAACTGGGGGTCCAAAAACATAGTCAGGCAGCATAAGTATCTTATATTGTCAAACTGTTTGGAAAGGGAACACGCGCCTTTTTGTTTCATACCTCTTGGTTGAACTGTGATCTTCCTTGTGCCGCATCTGGACGTAAAACTTTAATTGCAACAGGAGTATGGTCTAGATTACACCTATATACAGGACCGTAACCTCCTTCTCCAATCTTGCGGGATTCTGTAAAGAACTCTGTGGCAGCCTCAATCTCTTCAATTGAGTACTTCCTATACCTGACATCGGACTGTTGCAGAGCGCTAAGTGCCTTCTTTTTCTCTTCGTGTTCTCTGAGTGCTTTCATTTCTGCATTGATTCTTTTTTGTGCTTCCAGTTCTGCAATCCTCTTAGCTGCTTCAGCAGCCTCAATGGCTGCTCTGGACTTAGCTCTCTCCTTTTCTACAATAGCCATTGCGGTTTCCTCAGCTAGCCGCGCCTCTTCCAATCTCCTTTCCTCTTCTAATTTCCAGCGCTGGAGCTCTACAGCCTGTAAAATAACATCAATTATCAGACGTATGTGAAATCAAGAAAGGTGTAAAATGTTGATAGAATTTTGCGTACCTTTTGCTTCGCCGAGAGTGCCTCTTTACAGGCAGTGCTATACATTTCCATAGTTTGCTTGAGCTCCAGCTTTAGCCTTCTCATTTCAGCCTCCATGTCTTCCTGAAATTCGAGTGACAAAAAACATTTCTATTGTAACAAAATTTAACTAGAAGTACACATTCGTAAATTAATAGAGACTAGATGCACTTACCATTGATGCAGAGGATAACCTATCGCTATCCTGAGAAACCGAAGAGAATGTGGGTGGAGAGGAGCTGACATCCACGGACCTCCGTCCAAAGTACTGCATAGACTCAAAGCTGTGGTTCAAGTCTACTTCCGTGCTGTTCGACATTCGTGGTGGGGTGACTCTTCCTGAATCTAGGTTTTCGTTATAAAATGCAGGGAAGATACGGTCAATGCTCGGCCTTCCAGAGCTAACAAAAGATATGTCAGTATCCGGCATAGGGAGATCTGCATATGACTTCCCGTTCGGGCCTTTCCTAGTAAACGGAGACCTGCTTTCCGTAATATTACTGTTAGTTCTCACAACAAAATAGATAAATTGCTTTATGTTTTAAAGACCATTTTGTCCATCTTCATTGAAAGGGAGAGACTGAGAGCTGCTACTGACCTGAAGAAGTCCATTTCATCGTGGGATTGACGTGGTGGTTCTGGTGGCTTTTCATTTCCTGGAAGAGGATCCAACATTTTAAGGTTCCTTGACTTTCAAAAAATTAGTGGGAGAAGATTATGCTTAAGGGTGAAAGAAACTAACCTTTGTTACCAGAAGGAGGGAAGACGTACGGCTCTGACTTTGGGCTTGTGGTGTGGTTACGAGCTGGGTTGCGTAGGGGTGAGACAGCCGGGGCAGGACGTGAGGCTGCCCTCCTTGATTGGAGTTTTTGCTTGGATACAACATATACATTACAAAAGTCTGGTGCCGCCTTTGATATGTTTCCTGGAATATCTGATGCTTTGAATCTACATAAATTTTTTTTTTAAAATGAGACAATGTTCTGTGGAATTTCATGGCATACAAAGCAACGTAACGCCCTAAAGAATTGGTTTTATAGTTTCAGAAATTTAAACTTGCAATCAAATAGCACAACTAGGAGGGTAAATAATTTGTTCGAGGGCAGCTGACTTAGAAACGAAGGTACTTACCTAAGAAAGCCGGTTTTTGCTGAGGCACCAACAACCAAATGCTCGATTGCAGTTTGAGTAACGTATTCAACTAATGCTTTCGTTACATCGGAGTCTTCTAGTACAAGGTCTCTGCATTGTATCTGAATTCGAAAAGGAAAAGATAACACACAAGTAAAAAAGCAATAAAAAATTTCAAATCCTAAACAGATGTGTAATTGTTCATGAACCCTAAATGAATACAGATCAAGAATGCGAGTATAAGTTCATCAAACTCACATTTTTACGTGTGCAAAAAACACGGAAGGGAAGGAACAATTCCCGGGTTTGGGGATCAGGGTCTTTGCATACCAACTGTTGGTCCCAATTTGGATTACTTCCTGCAACCAAAAATCAAACACCAAAATGCAAAATCTTGAGGTGTGATTTAACTTAACTTGCATATCAAGCAACAGAAGAAGAAAGACATCGAAATGATATAAAAAAACAGAAGCGATTTTCGCACACTCCTCTTTTCTCCTCCCTGAACCTTCCCTTGGATTGAACCCAAAGGAGAGTCAACTAACGGAAGCGAGAGGAGGAGTGCAGAAGAAGAAAACAGGAGCGTGAAAATCACTGCCCTGAAAATGAAAACAGAGCAATATGTACGTACTTGGGGTGGAATTGGAAAGAGAATGCGACTGAGAAATTATGGAATGCTTGACCTTGACATGGATGAGAAGAACAGATTGGCCTGGTTTGATGAGACTGTCAATTGCCCATTTGAGAGCACATTGGCTGTTCTTGTCCCTGTCTATTGCCACTGCCACAATCCCATTCCCTGCTTCCTTCTTGTCCACTTGATTATTGGGTAGCCACATTTCTCTCTCTCTCTCTCTCTTCTTTTCCTGTACTTTCTTAATCTTAAGAAATAAGAAGAAAAAACCAAACAAAAACAACAAGAAGAAACAAAAAATCCAATACAAACTACCAAACAATGCCTTGGAATCCCAGAATTAATAAGGGTTTTAAAATTTTTTTGGTGGGATTTTAAATTTTATATCTTTGTTTAAGCTCCTTTATCTCTCTTTTGCAGCAGGATCTCTAAAGAGAGACAAAAAGGATTTGCGTTTCAAGTATGTGTTGTGTTTGTGTTGACTTTAATGTTACTTTTTTTGTTCTTGGAGAGCAACCAAACAAGAAGAAGAAAAAGCACTTTTGGGAATAACCAACTGCTTTTGATTTTTCACTGGTGAATCCATAAATATCTCACTCTCTTCAATTGGGTTGTTTTTATGAGAGACCCTCCTCCATTTGCGGATTGTTTTGGTGTTTTAACCTGTCCCTAACTAATGACTATATTTTGGTCACTCAGTCAACCCTCCCTCTCCTTCAAATTCTCACCCACTCTGCACAAGGACAAGATTTGATCCATTCTTAATAACAATTCATGACAAAATATCATTGTTATTCATTTTTAAAACAAATTATAAGAATTCGGACTACAAATTGACTCATAGATTAAGAAACATCAGTCATGATGCGTACGTCAATTCCACAAAAATGAATGGTCAGGATGAGCACATGCGTGCATCGGCAACTCATTCGAGCAATTCTTTATAGGTTATAGTCAATGTGAACCATTATCTGAGAAGTCAAGAGTCAAGATTTCATCAAACAAGATAACTTAATCTAAACTACATATTAATGAAACCTTCTTTATCAATCAAAAGAGGGTGAAAAAACATTTTTATCTTCTATCACAACAAAAAAATTAAGGTCAGCAACGTAATTTCACAAAACAAAATTTTATTGTTTTTTATTTAAACCTCACCTACAGGTGATTTTATCATCTCTAATTAAAAAAAAGTAAAAAAAGTAAAGAATAAAAAATAAAAAATAAAAAACAAACCTCTCTCCCTCCCTCTCCACTCCCACGGTCTCTCTCACTCTTTTCCACCCTCCTTTAATTTAAAAAAAAAAAGTACAAATTTTCACACACACTTTGTGTGTGGCCATATATTAATTGTATTTATGATTATGTTCTAAATCTTTCTTATTGGATTTTGTATTTCTTGTAGGCTAAAGAAGTTGCTATGTTTATTATAAATAAAGGAATAAAATGGTGAGAAACTACACCACAAAAATTCTCCAACTCTCTATGCTCTCGTTCCCCGTGCTGCTCCTTTTTCCTATTCCCTCACTAAAATACCCCTACAACAAATATCATTTTATTTGGGAATATGACAATATAATAAAAGGAAAACTAATAAAAAGGGCTTGAAAACTTTAAATTTTAATGATAAGGACAAAATAAAGGGTAAAGTGAATAATACCAGGATTGACTTTTTAGTGTAAAAATGTGGTTTTTCGTTAAAGTGAACAGTACCGGATGCTTTTCGTTAAAGTTCCCTATAATAAAAGAGTAGCTCTATTGTCGCCAATGTTCAAATCATTTATTGTCCCTATTGCAACACTAGTTAGGGAGAGTGGCAATATGTAAAAATTAAATATGATATAACAACTCATGCTCCGTAAGGGGCTCGTAATTGAAATAGTTAAGAGCATTTACTTATGCACCAAGATCAGAATTTCATATTAACTTGAGATGAGAGCTAGAAGTACACACCTTTCAAAATTTTTATTATCTTACAAATATTTTATAATACTTTTGAGAATATCCAAATTTCATAGTTCATAAACCCATTTTTACAACGATTTTTCTACGCAGTTTGGATGAAGATCGTAATCACAAACACCACAAGAAAATGCCCAAAACCTCCCCTGTTTTTGGCAATAATCACACACATATGCTTTGGCCATCTCTAACTTAAGCAAATGTTTATGCTTCAAGTCCTTCACTTGAGGAGGCAATGCCTCTCCTTCCTTTCTCAATTCTGCTTCGAGCTCTGTGATCCTCGCTTCTGTGAACGGGAAGGCCTTGGCACCGTGTAAGGAGACCATGGCCTTCCCATTTGTGCTAATCGCCTTCCCATTCGGTCCTATCAGAACCAGAGCCGGAATCACTTTGATGTCGAAGATTCTACAAAGGTCTTGTCTTGTTTTGTCCTGGTAGGGTATGGCAAGCCATGGCATGCTACTAGTGTTGAGTTCAAACTCTTTGAGGTCTCGGTCTGTGGAGACTAGGATGATTTCGAAGTCTTGATCACCGGATGTCATGAGCTCTTCGTATGCTTCTATGAGTTTGGAAGTAAAAGCACGGCAAGGAGGGCTCCAGTGTGCACCAAAGTAAAGGCCTACTGTCTTACCAACAAGTTCAGACACCTGTATCTGCAGGCGGCGATCAAATGTCAATTTTCGCGTAAGAAATCTATAACAAATTAACAACCGAAAGAAGTATACTAAACTCTACCTCTCTGCCATCACTAGCCAAGACATGGTTTCGTCCTTGATGCGTCAACAACTCTTCGATTTTTCCCCCTTCACGCTTTGCTTCATCGGCGGCCTTTAGCTCTACTCTTCTCTTGTTAGTGAATGGAAATGCATCAGCTCCATAGTCTTCAATTAATCCAACCAAGTCTTCCTCAATGGATAATCCATCTGAACTTAATGAAATGAGTGATGGGATGCGATCTATGCGGTACATGTCACTCAATCTTTTATGAAGATTGGCATCAAAGGGCACTGCCAGCCATGGCATGCACTTGAAGTGTTCATTGAACTTTTCCTCATTGGGGTCGAAGGAGATGAAGATTATCTCAAACTCTTTTCCTTCCAATCTAAGCACTTCATAAAGTCTCACCAGCTGAGGGGTAAGAGCCTTGCAAGGCCGACACCAATTTGCAGAGAAGTAGAGGCACACTGTCTTCCCATTACATGATGATAACGGTACCTAATAATCTCGTAATCAAAAGATTAAGTTTTAATTATCATAACCAAGATAGAAATTCACCATAAAACTACTTGAACTTCACGTTCCTATAACTTCGTGAAACTAACATATTTGGACATCCAACAACCGAAGAAATTAACATGACAAAATACTGACTGAAACAAGAGAAAGAAGAAGACAAGCTTTTCGAGACTACATACCTTTGTGTCACCGGATAGAAGAAACTCAACTCCTTCAGATTCGAGAACGGTTGCTATATTGCTGCTATGCACTGCCATCAGAACTACAAGCAAAGTATGGCCTCCACCCTTCTTTTATATTTCCCAAAACACAGATACAGTCACGAATGGAACGAAAAGAAAGCGTGACATTCACAAAAGTAGCTAGACTTTGCTGCACAAGAATCTCTGCTTCACATTATGCATATGTGTGTACGTCATCATGTTTTCAAGCTACAAACTTTTGGAGGCGGAGATGCTTCATCTATATTCAACAAGGGGATCGAATTTGAAACATTTTCGATACGAATCAATCCGTAATTTGTTATTCTCCCAAAATGTAATTCATCTACGGATAAAGGGAAGACATAGACATGAGGATGATTCGCCTAGTTAGTTATTCTCTCCTGTATAATTCTCCAATAAATCAAAGAACATGTGATACACATATCTTATTAACTTCCGTGTTTGATTTAGTTGGCAACTCTTTGTGGCATCTAGACAAAGGAATATTCCAACAAATGGTTCCTTACTACGGAGGGCGTCCAAAAACTTATGCTTTCGTGAGAGATGCCTTACATATGACGTTTTCGGTAGGAGGATCTAGAACTTAGCAGCCCACGATGCAGCAAACCGTGTGTTGCATAAATGGAATAAAGAACTTGCAACTGTGCAGAATCAGACCATGTTCTTATTCCAGCTCAACTATCCTTGCAACTCACAAACGAGGCTAAAAGGAGGGAGAATTCGAACTCGGGAACAAGGAGTGAAGGCAAATGCTCCCTCGTAGTCCCCACAACAACTTCATAAGTATTTCGCTAAGAGCTATGCTTGGGACCACCATCTATGTCAGCAATTGTCAATCGTTGATGCATGTATATAAAACTCAACAAACACATATGCATGCACATGAAAACTATAAATCTGTCATCGTCGTAATTGAAAATATGTAGATTACGTTGATAATCCGGTGGGAGTGTTGGTGAACAGAAACAAAGATTATGGAATTCATAATTATAAATCAGATAAAATAATCCTCGAGTGAATCAAAGTTAGAGCAAACAAGTGTACCTTACAATTTTCGTGAAGTTATTCCTGAAATCCTGCCTTGAATATATTATGCAAATTCCAAGGAATTAAAGCCACAGAGACTACTCAGAGAGAGAAGTCTGGAGAAAAAAATGACAAATGCCAAGGAATAATAATAATAATAATAAATAGAATAAAAAAAAGGTTGGATAAATAAGAATAAATAATATTAGGAAGGTATATCCATTTCATAGATTTAGATTCTCACTCTAACGGTAAGTCCTCGGCGTCACGAAAGACGTGTTCTTACACAGACGGTAAATCCTAAAAAATATTTAAATTTTTTTTTTTTAATTTATTAAAAAAAAACTATTTAGAATCTTAGATAATTAAATATGTCACATTCAAACGATTGGATAAGGTAGCCGGATTTCAAAGCCTGACCGAGTCTACCAACGCATGACAAATTGGAACCTCTCGTGGGCCAGACGGGTGGGGCGGAGTTGATACCGCAAGTTGTATTGCAGGACACCGCCGCAAGGCAGCTTATAGACGACTGTCAGCCGTTAATGAACAAAAATTTCACGGAGAAACCTATGTCTGTCAATCAACCTTAAGTTCCGCAGTGGAACCTGCGTTCATCCATTGACGACGGTTGATAGTGACCCATCCGCACAGGGGCCATTGTGCTCAGCTATTGCAGTAAACATTCAACACTCGAAAAATTACTGAATGATACAATACATCAGGTGCCAAATACAGATGTTGCTATTGAGTAAGCTTAGTTTTTACAATATAAATAGAACATTGATGAAACTTGAGAAACAAGTTACTAATCACTGTGACACGAATCAACGATAAAGTCAAAGCATCACAAGGAGACAGCATGTTGGTCAATTGACAACTTGAATCATGATGCAGGAATTTCATGATTTACGCAACCATTTTGAAATGGTTCACTTTTTCCTTCTTGAAGAAGCCCTAGTAAACATATCTCTGATGTTATGTGATTCTGACCTAGTTTGGGAGTGAGGTGCTTAAAAAAAAAGCACCTATGAAAAAAAACTGTGAGGGTTTTAGGTGTTTGGTAAACTGAAAAAAATGGCTTATTTTGGAAGCTGCTGTGAGAATAAGCTGAAATCAAAGAAAAAAGCTGAAGCTGTTATTTGCAGCTTTGGAAAACTGGCTTTTTTTCAAAGCACATGGAGCTACAGTGCTCCTTTAATGAAAAGACCCACTATCAGACTGCTTTTTTTTCCAAAAGCACTTTTACAAAAAAGTTTACCAAACGCTCTGCTGCTTTATTTCACAACCGCTTATTCTCACAGCACAGCCGCTTATTCTCACAGCAGCTTTTTTTCAAAGCACATCAATACCAAACCAGCCCTCTGTCTCCATTTTCGCCTTCATCGCTTGCCTTCCGGCTTGAGTAGGCTTAATCTCACTCTTACCCTTTTCCTGACAAAAAATTTAGCATGCATATAAAGATTAAAAACGAATCAGAATTAACCCATATTTTACTAGTCATGAGATACGGAAAGCATTTATCAACTCTAATAACTGTTTAGTTTGAAAACGCTCGGTTAAACATTTGAGTGCACGTCGTGTGTGTGTGTGTGTGTTTGGCTCCCAGGAAAGAGTCCAGGCTCTACCCTGTAACCAAGTGATTTTTAGTCTTTTTCCGATTTGTAGAGAAAACTGGCCCTATGTCTCGGACTGGGGGTCATACCTGTGAACCATTACAAGGCCCCAGGTTACTTCCTGTGCAGTCGGGAGAAATTCGATATCTGATGTTTTTCTCCTTGCTTCTGTAAAATCTATCCTGGAAACACAATCAGAAATCCAGACTTCATACATAAAGAAGAATCATCACAATTAGCAACAATAAGACCATTATTTATGCAATACCTTAAACGGTCACTCAAAGGCTTCAACCAGGGCTCATCCTTCACGTATTCCCCCAATACTGAAACTGCATCAGTCACTGCACCAGTAGAGGAGGTGAATTACCTATTTGTTTACGAAATGGTTCACTTTTACCATCCCATTATAGTCTTTGGCTACATCTCATTCTTTGACTTTCAAGTTAGTTCACTTAGCCCATTCAACATTGAAGAGATGAAAATTCAACCACACACTAGAGAGAAAGAGGGGAGAGAAACAAAAAGGTCATAAATAAATTCTCTCTCACTGAAATTGTACACATGTCTTTCTCTTCCCGTGCAGCATAATTATGGTCCAAAGTGGATAGTGTCTGTTTTAGCTGACATACCGGCCACCACAGAACATAGATTATAAAAAACTATGGACGACATTCTGTGGATGACATAGACATGGTTATACATGAATACATTCAATAATCTCAACACGCTACAAACACTTGCACTTGCTTGAACACCAGAACTTACCCTCCACCATATTATTTGGGGGAAGAGGTGTTACTGTCCCAGAAGACTAACCTAACAACACCAGCAGGAATAAGTAAACCAACGAGTTGATGGTCACTCGTGTCATGTGCGTACAAGTAATATGGAGTGCCTTATCTTTAAAAAGCTAAACGTATAAAAGTAAACATCTATGCGTATCCTTCATGTATGGCTTTGATGCACGAATGATGTACAAATGCAGTTCTTAAACTGAAAGGTGTGGTCTGTCAAATACATATTTTATAGATCACGCTGTTTTTCAACAAGGTTTCATACCCAAAAACTAACTAAAACAGGGGGGATGGGAGAGTAATTCATCAAACATCAAAATTGAGCGAAATCAGATGTAGACAGACCTTGTGGTACAACCAAGCCAGAACCTTGGAATCATCCAGCCTAAAAAATTTGAAGGATCCGACTTCTGCACACAAAGAGGGAAACAAAAACCTTATCCACTTGAATACTATAACAGAGTCCATTCTAATGTTTGACACTTAACATTTTAAGAATTCAAATCACTTAAATTGGAAAATCCAATGAAACAAGCACATTGAAACTCAGGCTAACATATAGCCTCTTAAATTAGAGGTCATTCGTTCTGTTCTACATTGAAACCGCATTTTGCAAGAAAAGTTAGATGCAATCATGCTACAGTACATGTTCATCGATCAATTTTACAAGCTTCCACCTAAAATCTGAACTACAACTGCATGGGTAGCATCCCACCTTTTATTTCGCAAACTAATTGCATACAGTTCTCTGCAATGGACAGTAATTTATGGTATCCCGGATAGCCTTCGATGAAGATTATGTCATCTAAAAGCCTGAACTTCCCAGGATCGTCCCCCTTCTGCATTTTTTTTAAATCAATGAAACAACCACCGGGATCAAAAGGGATAAACATAATGTACAAAAATACTAAAACAAGATTCATACGTAGGTTGTGGGATTAAAGCACCACGGAAGTTTGGGTACCTTCATCCTAGCTTCTTAAAATATGGGCAAGAAAAATGAAGACAGGGTCAACTGGAGTGGCAGTATATAACCCACCATCTATATGTTATTGCAACAGAAATTAGCCAATGGTCAGAATAATCCACATTTCAAAAACTTTACAAAAAAATTGAGCAACTAATATAATAAAAGGAAACTCAATAAAGGTACAACCTTCAGTAACATATTCACCCAGAAACCAAGAAGTGTAGGATTGCTTAATCCAATTGAGTTCCTGAAGTACCCCATCAACAAAAAGGCAGCACATTTTGTTTCCAGTCAATAAATTGAATAAAAAATATGAAACATGCCCTAATTTCCAAAATTTGAAGAAATTAAATGCGTGCATTGTGCTATACCGAACTTGGGATGGCGGAGTGAAATCAATTGTCCGACGTCGTTTCCGGATTCAGTAGTATCTGTAGAATTTAGGGTTTAGGGGCGGTGCGGAGAAAAACTAAATTGACAATTGGGAAGGAGAGATTGGGGTAGAAATTTACCTGCTGCCATGAGAACACGGGTTTCTTCGTAGCTTCCCACCACGCCATTGAATAGAAAGCTTCTGTTCCTTAAACCCTAGCTGTCACGAAAGGCTAGTGAAACGAAACGAAAACGTAGGAGAAAGAAACTGCGCGCGCGCTTAGACCATCTCCAACCAAGTGGGAAATCCCAAATTTACTATTCGTCCATACGAGGTTAGTCGGCTTCCCTCCAAGAGTAATAGCTTGCTTGGGCAAGAACTTTTAAACGATAAAAAGCCCTTTTAAGATAAAATGTTTTTGAAATTATACATTAGTACAAATGAAAATTTTGAAAAAAAAAAATACTTGAAATGTTTCCAGCAAGAAGCACATAATTAGTACTTTAGTGATAAACATTTCAAATGCTTTTGTAACATAAAAATATTTTTTCTAAAAACGCTTTTAATCATTTAAAAGCACTTGCCGAACAAGCCCTAAGCAACTACAACTCTCACCCCAACTTTATATTTTGTTAATTTTTTATTTCTTTAATTTTTTTTATTTGCTAATAATTTTAGAATTAGTTTTTGTATCATCTATCTTGTTTTAATTTTACCAACGTTTTGATGTAAAAAAAAATCAGATTCCAAAAAAGAAATTTGAATTTTTGTTATGGTACACACAAAGTAGATGGGTATTTATAAAGTTTTGGTATTAGATCTGATTTGGATTAATCAATAACATTATTTTAATTCTTGGATTTGAATTTGAGTTATTAATTTTTTTTATTACCATTAAAATTGATTAAATTTAATTTAAACCGTTGGATTTTAAAAATAACTCGAGAGGCACGACAACATGAATGGTAACAATCATGAAATCACATATGCATTTTCGTCCTAGCCTATGCCCCGCTATATTGGATCCTCCAGCGTCAGTACTGTTGTCTCTCTTTTTAACATGGGTTTGCTGCCATGATGAACCCCATTTCCACCCAATTTTATCTACCCGGGGTGGATACAAGACAGAAATACCCAGCCCAATCCTAAAATCTTGTTTTTTCCCACTCTTTAAAAATACTCTTTGGAGAAGAAATGGGCCCAAATTCTGGAAAATAAATTTCCGTCCATGAGTTGAAGATAATCTTAGAGAGATGGAGGTTATTTGTTCTTTGGTCATCCACATGGGAATATTTGGACAATAAGACTTTTCTCACCAAGATTTTATTTGATAGGGTAAATATTATTTAGACGATTTTTGTTCTCCTTTTTAGGGGTGGGTTCGGTTTAAATCGGTTCGATTTTTTGCTAAAACCGAAACCAAACCGAAATTTTGGTTCGGTTCATTTGTTTTCGATTCGGTTCGATTTTTTCCGGTTCGGTTTCGGTTCGGTTTCGGTTTTTTGTTTTTTATTTTTTCAAAAAATGAAAAACATTGAAATTTTAAATTTTAATATATCCAATATAATCATAACATAAGCATTCTAACTAGAATCAAAGACAATGAAAATAAATATTTAAAGTTGAACTAAAATCATCAATCTAGTCTTCCAAAGTCCAAACTAACAACCTCACAACACAAAAATCGTACAAATGACTTAGAAAAGTTAAATTGTATGATGTTGTCACTAGTAGAAAAAACACTTTGCGCGACGTACATAAATGCGTCGCGCAAAGCCAAAAGTCGTTGCCTAAGGGTTTGCGCGACGAAGGGTTCATCGCGCGCTGACCGTCGCGCCAAGGCAGTGACGGTAGGGCTTGCGCGACGAACAATAACATGCGTCGCGCTAAGTACTTTGCGCGACTCACGTATGCGTCGTGCAAAGTACTTAGCGCGACGTGCGTGCGCGTCGTGCAAAGTACTTAGCGCGACGTATGGCTTGCGCGACGGACAATAACATACGTCGCGCAAAATACTTTGCGCAACTCACGTATGCGTCGTCCAAAGTATTTTGCGCGACGTATGCGTGAGTCGTGCAAAGTATTTTGCGCGACGTATACGTGCGTCGTGCAAAGTACTTAGCGCGACGTGCGCGCGCGTCGTGCAAAGTACTTAGCGCGACGTATACGTGTGTCGTGCAAAGTGCTTTGCACGACGCGCACGCACGTCGCGCTAAGTACTTTGCACGACGCATACCATAGGATGCACGTCGCGCAAAACCCTTTTTTTGGTTTGAGTTATTTTTTTTAAATTCTTGATCAATATTATAATTAAATTCTAAAGAATAATTAATTAACCAAACAAAAGTATTTAATTATAAAATATATGAAAATGTGCATACAAGATGTCCAAACAAAAAAAAACTTCAAGTGAACTGGTTTAATACATCAAGCTACTGGGTATCGGCAGGGCGAGATGGGTCTGAGGTCGAAGGTGGAGCAAGATGAGGTACTGGTAGCGAGATTTGGAGGCCAGCCATCTGTATGGCTTGTACAAGTTCTTGCACCCTCCCGACACAGGTCCTCACCTCCTCGTCCTGGGCCTTCATCCGCTCATCCTGGGCCCTCAGCTGCACCTTCATCTGCTCACCCTCGGCCCTCAACTGCGTCACTTCCTCCTTCAATGCATTGACCTCTACTGTTTTCGATCTGGAAGAAGAGGCACCCGTCTCACGAACTCGCGCTTTCCCCATACCTCGAACAACCTTGCCACGACGACGACCAAAGTTCTGATCCAGGACATCAGTCATGATCTGAAAACCTACATCCTCAGGTAGTGTGATGTCCTCGATCGGAGTCTCCGAGGGAAGCTGCGATGTTGCTTCGTGGAGAACATCATCTCTTTTTTCCACCATAGTAGCCTGTAATAATAAAGAAAAAACATATAATGTTTAATAACAAAATATAGATAATATTTGAACGATTCTTACATATAAGAATAATGATAATTACATATACTTACATGAAGTTGCTTAGTGGTCTCATTATTAGGTCGAACGTAAACTTCCTCGAACATGTCGATCTCTGGGAACATAGAACCCTCCTGAAGAAAAAAACATGAAGAAAATTTTATTAATCAATAATAATAAATAAATTGTATAAAATTTCAAAGTTAATTTACTTTTACCTCACGTCGTGCCTCAAGCCTATACGAAAAGGGCTTTGAACCAGAATGGTGGAGAAGTGTCTTTGACTCCCGAGCTTTCTGGCCAGCAATAGATTTCTTTTGTTAAACACACAATATACATGTTAGTGCGACTATTTGAAATAAATTAATAAAAAAGCTTAAAAAAATAACATGTACAATAATAAATTATTATTAAAATATTATGTATATACCACAAATTTTGGGTCCGTAAAATGTTTGCAGAGCCACTCCCAATCCTCTGGCCGGTCCTTCAACTCCATTGGAACATGTAGACGAGCTATCTCCGGATCATTCCATTGCTTAAAAAGCGTGTGAAAATTGTTCTTCCATTGTTTGTATCGGGTTGCTAAGGTCCCCTCTAAGTAGGCCATAGCCTCAGGGGATATGTCCTCAAGATCATAAACGCACTACGGATATGAAAAATAATAAAATAATTGTAACAAATTTAATAATATTAAAATAATTGTTCTTCCATTTTTTTTTAAGTGTTTTTTTTTTTAATATGTAACTTAATGTAAAAAGACTTTGTTTAACCAATGAATGCTATTGTTTTGATGAGATACACATTGTACAAAACTAGTTTCAACGATCCAACCGTCAAACTTGTTTGTATATGCTTCGAGATCGCATACGCCAAAAATCGTAAAAAACAAACATTCAGAGATCAAGTAACGGGACAAAACTTTTCGACGGTTATAAACGAAAAATCACGATTTAACGAACATTCGTTGATCGAAAAACCTACGTCGCGCAAAGCCTTTGTTTTTCTTTTTTTTTTGTTTTTTTTTTAAATATGTATTTCCCTTTTGCTTATGAACTAATTCGATCAACGAATTAAAACATTTACAAAAGTGAATACCACAAAATTTATTGTTTTGATGGGAAACGCATTGTACAAAACTAGTTTCAACGATCCAACCGTCAAACTTGTTTGTATATGCTTCGAGATCGCATACGCCAAAAATCGTAAAAAACAAACATTCAGAGATCAAGTAACGGGACAAAACTTTTCGACGGTTATAAACGAAAAATCACGATTTAACGGTTATTTTAACTCCGATTTTGATGATTTTTTACAGCTACACTCCTTGATCCTATATGAATACAATGAACTAATTCGATCGTCAATTTAAAATATTTACACAAGTGGATACCACAAATCTTATGTTATAGTTAATGAAAATATAAATAAACTCTAAGTGTTAGTGAATCTATTGTTTTGATGGGATACACATTGTACAAAACTAGTTTCAACGATCCAACCGTCAAACTTGTTTGTATATGCTTCGAGATCGCATACGCCAAAAATCACAAAAAAAAAACATTCAAAGATCAAGTAACGGGACAAAACTTTTCGACGGTTATAAACGAAAAATCACGATTTAACGGTTATTTTAACTCCGATTTTGATGATTTTTTACAGCTACACTCCTTGATCCTATATGAATACAATGAACTGAATTCGATCGTCAATTTAAAAAACATTTACACAAGTGGATACCACAAATCTTATGTTATAGTTAATGAAAATATAAATAAACTCTAAGTGTTAGTGAATCTATTGTTTTGATGGGATACACATTGTACAAAACTAGTTTCAACGATCCAACCGTCAAACTTGTTTGTATATGCTTCGAGATCGCATACGCCAAAAATCGTAAAAAACAAACATTCAGAGATCAAGTAACGGGACAAAACTTTTCGACGGTTATAAATGAAAAATCACGATTTAACGGTTATTTTAACTCCGATTTTGATGATTTTTTACAGCTACACTCCTTGATCCTATATGAATACAATGAACTAATTCGATCGTCAATTTAAAATATTTACACAAGTGGATACCACAAATCTTATGTTATAGTTAATGAAAATATAAATAAACTCTAAGTGTTAGTGAATCTATTGTTTTGATGGGATACACATTGTACAAAACTAGTTTCAACGATCCAACCGTCAAACTTGTTTGTATATGCTTCGAGATCGCATACGTCAAAAATCGTAAAAAACAAACATTCATAGATCAAGTAACGGAACAAAACATTTCGACGGTTATAAACGAAAAATCACGATTTAACGGTTATTTTAACTCCGATTTTGATGATTTTTTACAGCTACACTCATTGATCCTATATGAATACAATGAACTAATTCGATCGTCAATTTAAAATA